TACCCCCCCGTTCTTCCACCGAGCCTCCTCTTGCTTTAATTAAAAGAGCTTGGAGCTACCAGGCACGTGAAGGAAATCAATGGTTTTTTTCCTCCCCTGTAATAACCACACAGGCTGAGCCGTGCTCTCGCCTCTGAGAGCCCCGCTGCTTCATCCCCAGGGAGAGTTTGAGGCAATTGAGTGACTTTTTTTTTTTTATATTATTATTTATCGATTTCTTTTCATATTTTGGGCTCGTTTTTCTTTTCCCCAGGCTTCCAAACCCAAGGTGAGCATCCCGCTGTCGGCCATCATCGAGGTGCGCACCACCATGCCCTTGGAGATGCCTGACAAAGACAACACCTTCGTCCTCAAGGTGAGGGCAGGGCGTGTATCCCCACGGGGACCCCTCTGCACCCACCCCAGGTGGGAGGCTCAGTCCCCAGGGGGTCGTTGCCTTGGTTTTCGGAGCTGAGACACCAGCCGTGCTGATGCTCCCTGTGGGATACCTGGGCTGCACCCCCCAAAATGATGCAACCTCCACCTGATTCCTCAGTATCCGGGGCTCGAGGTGTTTGCCTGCGTTTCTTTGTGGGGTTTTGCTTTTCCACGTCACCAGGAGTTGAGTTAAATTAGTGTCCAGAGGCAACCTGCAAGGGGAAACACTCTTTAGTGGGGCTGCCCGTGGTTTTGTGACTGCTGCTGCCCTGGATGGGTGGCATGTGGTGGCTGTTTCATTGACATGGGAACGGCTGCTCTCCCACAAACCCAGATCCCTCTAAAGGTCCTACACCTTCTCCTGGCAGCCTCCTCCAGGGCATCCTCCCCTCCCCAAGGGCTTCTTGCTCTTCAGCATCAACCTCTGCTGCAGCCAGTGCCCACCATGGACGTGGAGGCTAATTCAGCTGTTGTCTTCTGTGCCTCAAAGGCCAACCTCACGTGTCATCATCTCTCCAGACTGACCAGCCCAAAGCCCTCCTTGCCCTGTGGGCTCTGGAGAGAGAAAGCCCCAAGCCAGGAGCGGATGGGAAGGATTGCTTCCCTTTTGATTGCTTCTCCTTTCTTCTTCCTCTTTGTCCAGCCCAACTGGATCCCGTTGCTTTCTTCGTGCCCTGATGATGATGTTGACTCACGCAGTTTGTGGGCTGGTGTAACCCCTCGATGCTTTTTGCAGAACCACTCTGAAGCTGTGGTTCCCCAGCCCAGACACCCAGAGCTCATCTCTGTCCTTGAGCGTGGGGCTGGTTTCACTTTATCTTCCACTGAGCATTCCTCAGCTTTGACAAGTTCATTTGAATTCTTGCCTCGTCCTCCAGCACACTTGCAGCATGGTGTCATCTGTGAATTGATGAGGCATCCTGGCTTTGCTTTGTCCTGATTGTCACTGAGGAGCAGCACGTGGGGCAGGGTCCTTGATGTGAAGGAGCTTCTGAGCGTGCCCCTCAGCTTTGGTCATAGACATTGATAACCTGCTAGCCATTGATAACTGCTCCTGGAACGTGGCTCCTCAGCTGCTGATCATGTTTTATAGATCCTCTTACAAGTCTCTTCTCAGCCATGTCTTCCTGCACTGCTCAGGATCAAAGAATCACGAAGGTTGGAGAAGACCTCTAAGACCATCAACTCCAGCCATCACCCAACACTAACCTGACCATTAAACCATGTCCCCAAGTGCCACATGTACAGGTTTTTTAAACCCCTCCAGGGGTGGGGACTCCAGCACCTCCCTGGGCAGCCTGGGCCAAGGCCTCACCACTCTGCCAGGAAATATCTAATTCCCAAGATCCAGTCGAAATCTCCCCTGGTGCAACTTCAGCCCATCTCCTCTTGTCCTATCCCTGGTTCCTTGGGAGAAGAGACCAACCCCCACCTCACTCCAGCCTCCTGTCAGGGAGCTGTAGAGAGCCAGATGGTTTCCCCCCAGCCCCCTCTTCTCCAGACTAAACACCCCCAGGTCCCTCAGCCCCTCCTCACAAGCCATGTTCCTCAGACCCCTCACCAGCTTCATTGCCTTTCTCTGGACCTGCTCCAGCCCCTCAATGTCCCTCATACTGTGGTGCCCAAACCTGACCCCAGTGCTCAAGCTGTAGCCTCCCCAGTGCCTAGTCCAGGGGCAGGATCCCTGCCCTGCTCGGTCACACTGTTTCTGACCCAGGCCAGGATGCCATTGGCCTCCTTGGCCCCCTGGGCACACGCTGGCTCCTGTTCAGCCAGCTCTCCACCAGCACCCCCAGGGCCTTTTCCCCCAGGCAGTTTCCAGCCACTCCTCCCCCAGCCTGGAGCGTTGCCTGGGGCTGTTGTGACCCAAGGGCAGGACCCGGCCCTTGGCCTCATTGAACCTCATGCAGTTGGCCTCAGCCCATCGAGTCAGACTGTGCAGATCCCTCTGCAGAGCTCCCAGACCCTGGAGCAGATCAACATTCCTGCCCAATTTGGGTTTTTTGCTTTCTGGAGTGTCACATCTGTGTCCAACGTGTGGCTGCTACCAAGGACATGACATTGCTTCTCCCTGTCCTTGGGGCTGCCGTGAGTTTGACAGGCTTGGGTCATGGTGGGTCCCTGGTGGGGGGATTCAGCTCCGGGGTGCTCCCTGGGTGCCTCTGGAGGGTTGGCTCCTCTGGATGCTGGGGGAGGGCTTTGGGCTGGCCCTCTTCCCATCTTTGTGAGCCAAACTGTGCTCTCTCCACTCCCACCACTAACAGCTCTGCAAATGCTTCAGCCATTCCTGCAGTTATCTCAGGGCATGCTCAGACCCCACTGCTCAGAAGCTGGATTGCTGAGTACCCTCCCCTGGCTCCTGCCTGTTCTGGCCAGGGCCCTCCCCCTGCCATGGGCTCATCTGATGCCAGTCAAACCCATCTGCTCACTCTGGCCTCCTGCTGTCCCCCTGTCCCACTCCAGCCAGCTCTCAGCACAGGATGCTTTTCCCCTATTCCCAACATCCTTTATTATTTGTAGCTTATTTCTGCCCCAGCCTTTCCTACCAGGACATCTTCCCGCTGCCCTTTTGTGCTCCCCCTTTGCTGGCTGGACCCACAGAGAGGTGAAACACCCCTTGATGTCAGGGTGTGGAGTAGAGGGGTAGGAAAGGAAGCTGGGTGCTGTGGTTTTCTTGCTGCCTTCCCATGGACAGGGCTGATGTCAGCCTAATCTCAACCTCTGCATGCAATGTGCTGCACGCTGGCGGGTGACGATGGGTGGAAAAGCCCCCGCCTTGCTCAGGGAGGCCACGCTGGAGTAGTTTTTGCTAAATTGTCTAAAAATTAGCAGGCAGCAGGTCCCCGCCGCCCATCAGACACCAAGCACATGCCTTTTTTTTCCATTGCACAAGCAGGCACTTGCAAAACAGCCGAGCCCTGCACGTGCCTCGCTCGCCGTCGGGCCGTGCGTCAGAGAGCAGCCCCGTCTCCCACGCCGGCCTCGTGCACTGCCCTCAGGGAGCCAGAGAGGCTCCTTAGATCTGGTTAAACAAAACGGGGGGATCTTCACTGCCCCCCACCTCTGCTGGGGACAGGATGGCCTGGGCATGGGCATGGCCGTGGGTGGCAGCACGGGCGCAGGGTGCTGCTCAGCCCCAGCCCAGGCACCGGGCACCGCTCCCTGCTTATTTTCAGAAGGGTGATTCAGTTGTTTGTGATTACTTTGATTTAATTGAGTTGGGGAGGAGGTTGTCTCGGCGGGCAGTGATACCCTCCCCGAGTCAGGGCTGCCCTGGCAGCCTGGGAACATGCTGTGTGAGGGCTCTGGCTGCGGGGAAGGCTGCCAGAGGCACGCAGCATCACATGGGGTGGCTCTGGAGATCTGCTGGTGGGGGGCTGCTGGGTCCTCCCTGGCCCCCGAAAGGCCCAGCTCCTTTGAGCTTGCTATTTTGGAGGCTCTTCTGCATCCTGATTTTTATTTTATTGGTTTCCCTGTTGAAGTAGGTCTCTCTCCTGCCCCGTTGCAGCCAGAAATCAGAAGCCCCATGGACCAGGAGGCAGAAAAGATAACAGAGGAGAGGTGTTAAACTCCTGAGTTTAGCAGCCTGGTGGGATCTGGGGGCAGAAAGCAGCATGGCTTCTGCTCTACCTATGCAGAACTAGTTTTTGGGACACACTGAGGCACCCCAGAGGTGTCAGATGCTGTCTGGGCTGGTGCCATGCACCCCCAATGCCACCAGCCAAGTGTGGTTTTGCCACAGAGGCTCTAAAACCCTTGTGATGCATTTGCTGGTAACTGAGGGGTGGGAGTTTACCTCCGAGCCCTGGCTTTGGTTGGGGTTCACTGCTGGACACAACAAAGCACCTCTGTGGGTCATGCCTGGGCATCCCTTTGCTGGGGTGGGAGGAGCAGTTAGTTACCTGCACCTTGGTCAGGTTGGGGGGTGAACGTGGGGGCCCGGTTTGGTTATGGGCTGCGCTTTTGGGGCGGGGATGGGGACCCTGGCACAGCCTGACACTGTCCCACGTTGCCCACAGGTGGAGAACGGGGCCGAGTACATCCTGGAGACCATCGACTCCCTGCAGAAGCACTCCTGGGTGGCAGACATCCAGGACTGCATCGACCCCGGGTGAGGCTCGCCGGGGGAAGGTGGATCCAGCGGGGGATCCCGGGCTCCCCGCTGCTGCAGGGCCCTCACCTCTACCCTGCAGCAATCTTTGCTTTTGGGTGATTGCAGAAGGTCCCAGGCTCGGGCCAGCAGAAGCCTGGAGGCACAGTTAGCAGCCCGAGTGTGTCAGAGAGGCAGCCTCACAGAGCACTGCCTGCTCCCTCGCCCTTTCCTGCCCCACGTTGCCCCAGCCTGGCAGAGAAAGGTGACCCAGGAGCTCTGCCCTCAACACAGCAAGCTCCTGACAGCCACCCTCTGGAGCTCTTGTCCTGTATTACAGCATATGCTGTATCACTGTATTACACTATATATACTCCTCTTCATCAGGGAGCATAGCAGTAGGGTGAGGGGTGATGGTTTCAGACTGAAGGAGGGTAGATTTAGATTAGAAATAAGGAAGCAATTCATGGTGAGGGGGGTGAGACTCTGGCCCAAGTTGCCAGGAGAGGTGGTAGATGCCCTGTCCCTGGCAACGTTCAACAGCAGGTTGAATGGGGCTTTGAGCAACCTGGTTTAGTGGGAGGTGTCCCTGCCCATGGCACTAGGTCCTCTTTAAGGTCTCTTCCAACCCAAATGATTCCATGGTACTGTGATATTTGTGCTAATTTCCATGGGTTTTTTTCCCAGTCCAGCATCTGTGGTATATTTAAGATTCTGCTGCCTAAATGACTTTATTTATATTTCTATCACCATGGTATTAATGCTGTCCTTGGAGTCACACCAATTGTGCCTAAACTTCTAATTTGCTTTTCCATCAGCCACACACCGGGTTAGGGTGCAGGGAGGTCTGTGTGCCCAGCACTGCTGGCTCAGACAGCCCCAGTCCCAGGGGGGCAGGATCAGCCCGGGTGCTCCCCAGGCTCTGGGGAAACCCTGGTGCTGCCCTTCTTGGCACAGGTTTGGAAAAAAAACAACATGCCCGAGCTTGCAAAGGTGAAAGCCTTGAGCAAACCTGGCACACAGAGGTTTGGAGAGGCTCCAGCTGTGCCCCTGCAGCTCCTCTTGCTGCTTTTTAAACTACATCATTCAAGAAGCGGCGCTGAGGCAGAGCTGGGGCTGGAGGTGAGGCTGGGCACGGGCCCCTTTCTCCCTGCTGCCTGTTGCCGAGCTGAGGG